ATCAAGTCGTCACTAAAATCTTGCTACATTTCATCAATATCATTTTCAAATTTGGTAGGTAAAGATGGATGCCCATAACTCCTTCTCTCTCCATTAATCCAATCTCTAAATAGTACCAATATCTCCAAGCTATCTGCTGCTAATGAATATCTATGCTCTCCAATTTGAAATCTTGTTGCACTAAAAGCGTCTTCCGAAGCTACTGAAGATGTTTGAATAACTAACACATCTCGAGCAACCGGTTGAAGTTTTGTAAATCCCTTGCCGCGATTGCTCCACCAATCTAGAAGATCAGGTAAACCTTGTGAATCCTTAATACTTTTCATATTTTGATTAATATATGCATCAAAATCATTTTTGTCATTATGAGAAAGTTCAAGATAACAATCTAGCATATCATCAAGATCATCTTCATTATATCTACACCTAGAACTTTGAGGTTCTTCATTACGTACTACATTTCTTCTATGAGAATTATACAAGTCATACTAATTTTTTTAGCTTCAATTTTTTATACTATCTTTAACTTCTTGACAACTAGGTGTTTCATCATCTTGAATTTTCTAAAATTTGGAAAATATATTTTTATCAACCATTCGTGATGCACCTTCATCTTTGTAATGTGGGTTTAACAAACAAGCAGTTAAATAAATTTGAGGAATAAGAGAAATATTTTTAAAATTTTTCAATCATCTTCTTAACAAAATCTTCAAATCTTGGTTTATTTTTAAATTTATAAAATTTACTAGAAATAACACAAATATTTGGTAAAATTGAGCAAATAGTTAGATAATAAAGTCCAGATATTTTTTTTGTAGCTAAATTAAAAACTTTTAAGAATTCTATAAGTTCTTTTACGTCATTCCAATCATTATCATCAAGTCTATAGTTCACATTTGAATTATGAGCATTCCAAACCATTTGTAAAGGTTTTCTATACTCATAAGCGACTTGAAACATTTCAAATAAAGAATTCCATCTAGTACACACTGATTTTGGAATTTTTCTAGGTGGAAGATTAAATTCACGACAATGTTTTCAAATTCTCTACGTCTAGACTTAACTTGACATTTAAAATAAAATGACATGCAGTTTCAAATTTTATGCAACCATCATTATACATTGTTATATCATCTCTAACAATAAAATTATATATGTGTGCAGCACACCTAATATGAAAACCATCAATATAAACAGGGTAAAGAGTCAATTTTAGTATTTCAACAGCAGATGTATTATTAGAAGCATTATCTAAGGTGACACTAATTATTTTACACAAACTCCATAGTTTTGTAAAACATCTATAATAGTTTGAGCTACGTAACTACAGGTTTTATGCATTTCACAATATTTATAACCTAAAATTCTTTTTTGCATAATCCAATTTTCATCAATCCAATATGCAGTAATAGTGAAATAATCATTACCATTTACACTACGATCCATATCAGAAGTAATAGATATTTTACAAGTATTATAATAGAATAAACAACGAAGATATTGAAAATGTTGAGCTTGATAATCAAAGATAGCCTTTTTAATTGTGTTTCTTGTAAAACCTTTAAAATGTGGATTATACACAATTTGAATATAATGAATAAAATTGGAATTTTCAGCAAAATTAAAAGGCAAGCCAATAACAACAATCATTTTAGTTAATTCTTCAAGATTTTTTTCTCTACTATATGAGCGTTGTGTATTAGGGCCAGAAACAATAGAAGGATTTAATTGTGTTTGGATCATATTAGAGCCCCCTACCTTACAGTTTCACTAGGAAGGGTGGTACCATTCCTTTTAGCTTCGGCTACATCTTTAGCATGCAAAAATTCATATTTACAACATCCCATTAAATGATTACTCAAATGTCCTGTCCCACCCTATTTTCCCATAGTTTTATGATTCATTTTATGTTTACATTTATTACAAATAGCTTATGTTTTATCTTCACTCTAGTCATAAATTGCCACATAATTGATTTTTTAGCACGTTCTACCTTAGGCCTAGGATGTACGGGGGAATGGGAGCAGGACAACGAAAGGGAGCGGGACTGGGAGCGGGAGTAGTAGCCGTAATTGGCTCTGTTTCATCATCATCATCATCATCATCAAAAGTATCAATATAATCATTAACATTATCATGTTCATAATTTTCATCTAATTCCTCATCAAAATTACCAAACCTTCTTTGTAAATATTCATGACAAGGATCTAATCCACTATTACTATCAATATTAAAAATGGTTTCATCAACATGCGTAAAATCTTCCGTATTTATTTTTACTTGTGCTACTTGTCTAGTTTTAGATTTAGAAGAACTACCAATTTTTTTTATTTTTCTTGGTATTTGAGGTAAATAAATTAGCGATCGAATCATATACAATGGTTTTACCTTTATCAATAGTTTTTTATCGGAATCCATATTAAAATATGAAAAGTGAGTAAATTATATATAATACGAAAATGTAATGCAAACAAATAAATAACAAAATAAGTAGAGACTAGAGACTAATTACTCACAAAAATAAATAAATAAATAAATAAATAAATGCAAACAAATAAATTACTAAAATGAAAAAGTGAGTTGGAACGAATGTACCAAACGTCTACTTAAAAAAGTAGATGTTTATGACCGAAAGCCGAAAATTGAAAGTTGAATTTTGAAGCTCCAAAGACCAAATTCGTAATCCACCAAATCTTTCATACTAATATAATTTGTAATTTAAAAGAGAATAAGAGATTAGAGATTTGAGACTTGAGAGCTGAGAGAGTAGAAGATGAAGAATATTTGTGAGTAAAAATAATGAAAGATTGGGGGTATTTATAGTTAAAAAATAGGATAAAAATATAAATTTTAAAAGTTTGGGATATTAAAAAAAGTTTGGGGGGGTAGGGGGGTGTTTTGGGGGGTTATTTGGTGAAATAGCCGTTGGGTGGGACCCAATACCCATTACCCAACGGCCTGCCAACGGCTATATTACAATTTAAATTTTTTTTAAAAATAATTAAGACGAACCGGACCGGACCAGTTCGGACTGGAATCGGTACTTACCGATATAACTCGGTTCCCCTTCGTAACGGCCCTCACCGGATCCTGCCGGAACGGTACTGGACCGGGACAAAACAGTACCGAACCGGTAATGGACCGGGATGGAACGGTACTGGTACCGGCACCTCCTGGTCCCGCTGCCACACTTACCCCTAACTCATCCTATACTAAAAGGTATAGCCATTTGAAGTTGACCCAAAACTTAGAAGAACTTACGAATGACTTGAATGAATTCTCTTTAGTTCTTCTTGGAACTTAAGGTGCTACATCTAGTGACCTTAACGCTTAAGAAAATTTAAATTCCTCAGTAAAAATCTTACTCACAACGAAGAATGGTTCGAATCTTAGCTCAAAAATTTTTCGGGGTGTTACACTAGGCTCATAATGGGACAATAAATTCATTATAAATAAGAATGATGGGGTAATAGGACTCCCGCAAAGTTTAAGTGTCTTTTTGAAAATTCGGGACAACTTCAATAGTGACTTTATGTCTTTTCTTTAAGAATTGCATTATCTCTCATATCTTTTATCTTCATTAAACCTTGGTCAATAATTATGTATTTCTCTCTCATAGAGTTATATAATATGTATACATAATTAATTAGTGTTGGAGCAATGCACCAACTTAGCTTATGTGTTTCAGGATGCACAATTAGTTATATGATACTTATTTAATAGGTGTATGTATACCTCCTCCATCAAATATAGATTCAACTCTGATTACGACTTCAATCTATATTCTTTACTCTTTACATGTTTTACTTAATCTCATTTATAATCTTTAAATATCCAAATCGTTTGTAAATATACTTAAAAAGAGTTAAACTATAAGACATGTATTTATAACCTTATATAAATTTAAGTGTACCATTTTACTTGATTAACAATTTTATGTCTATCATGACAAACCAAAGCAACTTTGTTGATTTAACTCTACCAACTTTATTCTCTTACTAGTTTGGATATTGTTTCAAAATTTCAATTTAAAAAGTGTCATATATATTGAATCGGTAGAGAGTAATAATTTGAATTCTAGTTACTTCTTTTACTCTTGGGAAAAGGGTCTGATACACCCCTCAACTTTGTCATTTGGAGCTGATATGCCTTCGTTATGAAAGTGGCTCATATATATCCTTACCGTTATACAAACGGCTCACATATATTCCTACCGTTACAAAATTAGCTCACATAGACCCTTCATTTAATGGAAGTGAAAAAATTAGTTTTAAATTTATATTTTTTATTTTTTATTTTCTTAAAAATTATTTAGGGGTATATATGATTCTTCTAGCAAAGTTCAAGGTATATTTTAATCTTTTTCATACATAAATTATTTTTTGACTTCTTTTATTATAATTATTTGAGTTTCTTATTGTCTATTTACTTTTTTTTCTTTCATTCCTTAGTGTAAAATTTTTTTTTTAACTATTTTTTGTGGCTATATTATAATTTTAAACTATTTTTTTGTCTATATTGTAATTTAATTTTTGTATTTGAAGAAAAAAATTTGGTCTTCTAAATAAGTTTTACAAGAATATTAGTGAAACATAAATAAATTTGACCATCAAAATAATAAATCTAAATTAGTCATTAAAACAAAAAAAGTAAAAAATAAAATGTTTGAGGAGGATTAAATATACTCATATGAGATTATATATATATATTTAAAAAAAATAAAAAATTAAACTAAAATTATTTTTTTCATTTCGGTTAGAGAAAAAGGGTATATGTGAGCCGTTTGTATAACGATAAGAATATATATGAATCACTTTCATAACGAGTGATATATTAGCTTCAAATGACAAAGTTGAGGCATATGATGCCCTTTTCCCTTTACTCTTTGTGAAGGGTAATATATATATTTTTTTAATGCTTACCATCCATTTGAGCAATTCCTAAGAACTGATGATATGGTATTCCTAGCTTTTAATCTCAGTTCCTTGCTATGACTATGATTTGACACACATTTCATTAGCTTCCGATGGACTGTTTCCTCCTTCCTCCTCCTATTCACGCTACTGCAACTATTGCTCAACCCAATTTTCTCTATTTCCGACTCTGATGGCCCTTTTCCCGTTCGCCGGGAAGTCTACGGAAATGGACGGATTTTTGACATTACTCACAGAATAACCTCTGATATGCCGTCGTACGGCTCTGAAGAGGGGCTAGGACAGTTCTTGTGGCTACCCAATAGCATGAAGAATGGATCCCTAGCTAATAACTCTGTCATGAAATTACCCACCCACACAGGCACCCATATTGATGCTCCTGGCCATGTCTTTGATCATTACTATGATGCTGGGTTTGATGTTGATACCCTTGACCTAGAGGTTCTCAATGGTAACTATCAATTGTCTCTTAGTGCACTCATACACTTTTTATTCCCAATTTGATTTTCCGAGCCAAAATTTTCATTTTAAAATACAGAGATGTAACACACAATGTCTACTTTATATAAAGACGGGTAGAGCTCCTCTTTGTCGGCATTCTCCCTTTTTATCTATCAACCATTTCATTATGGAACTTTCTCCCAAGCTGCGGAACTAACAAGTCTATTAAAAAGTCGAATTAGCCACTTCTATACAAATTTTCAAGTGGGTGAAATCGGTTGAGTGGTCTCAGTTGGGGATGGGTGATCAAAACTCTTCCTTCTCTGCTTCACAGTCAGTTGATTGGCACATGTAAATTTTCACCGAAGGGGGTTTGGATGAACCCTTAGGTCCTAGCTGGCTCCGCCCTTCGCCTTAGTTGAGGTCTGAAATGTTTGAAGTCTTATTACTCTGATTAAGTGTTAACCGCTTATGTTTTCCTTAAGCTTTTTCATAGATTTGTTTGACTCAAGAGCAACTAATATGGAGTCTTCTTATTCTGGTTAAGTACTTGACTACTTGTATGTTCTTTTTTTTTTTGGAAATAAGTGTGAGTTTGATAACATTTTATCTGGCTTAAAAGTCAAAGTGTAGTGGGATTATTTAGGAGGATTGATGATCTATGCTTAATAATGAGGAGATTATTGTTCATGAATGACTTACTTTAAGAATGCATTTTTGTCTTTAAATATGGTAATCCCTGCATTATTAATACACATATTCTTATTCCACATTATATCCGATACATAGAATCCCACATAACTTAATGTCGGCATTATTTAATACCGCCGATCACATGCTGCATTAGTTATGGAACATGAAGTATTTAACACCACCAATCACACGCTGCGTTAGCTATGGCCTATGGAGCAAGTTTTTTTCTTTCTTCAGCAGCTAACCAAATGCTGTATTATCTTTGTTGGATTTTAGTGTTGAAATGAAATACGACCATGGCTTATAATCTAGTAATTTCAGTGGTAGTCTCTCACACAATAAGTATGAGTTCAATTCTTCATATTCTCCTTCCACCTTCCCTTTCCCCTATGTAATAGAAATACTAAAAAGATAAAATCAAGGTCTTAATAGAGAGGAATGAGTACAAAGGATTCATATAGTTGATCCAAACTAGTTTTGTGATTCAGCATAGTTGATTGATTTGTTGTATATAAATGCAAAGATCACCATCTGAATTTTGTATTTAATATAACTTTTCGGAATCCCTTACCGTCCTGAATGAGTATTTAGTAAACATGTGGCAACTTCTGAAATTGTAATGATTGTCTTATTATTTGTTCCGAGATTATTATTTTTTTTAAAATTTTTTTCTTTAAGTTCTATATATTTTCTTCATTTTTGAAATAGGAAAAATTTACACCCTTTGAGGATTACCGAAATTTGTATTTGATATGAAAATATTTCTCTAGTGTTTGAATGAAAATTTGATTAATTATTTACAATTCTGAAATAAAAATGTCAAGTTGATTTAGTTCAAAAGGTTTTTCTATTGCCCCTCTGTTAGTGAACTAGTTCGTACTAACGACCTCTTTAATTATAGTTGGGAAGATAATCTCATTTCTTTCTTGGAACTATTGTATGTTATATATTTTGATGTTTTTGGTATGAGAATATATTTAGCTGGTCTAGAACTCTTAAAACAGTTGTTAGAGTTATCCTTTTTAATTTTGACGGGATGGGGGATAAAGTGGTGCTTGGGCACTTTTGTGAACCTATGGCAAGTTATTATCCTATTATGGATGTCATGATTTGTATTATCTTTTAAATTTGAAATGTGACAAAGCTATTCACTTTATTGCTTCTTGTTTTTAGATACATATTACATTCAAGTTATATGTGTTCTCTCTAGTAGTCTTGACATTGATATTTTTATACACTTTAGTATTATATAATTCTTGCACTGAAACTATTCCCTTTTTCCCCTTTGGATAAAGCTGAAACTAGTCTTGCATGTAAGTTTTTCTAGAATGAAGAAGTGACCATTTTTTGTTTTTCTTCATTGGGAGGATTACTCCGAATTGGGTAGTCTTAGTTTGACTTGGTATGCATGATAAGAAATGTCAAAAACATTAATTGATTAGCAGCTGTTAAGGAATTGTCTCCTACATGTTGACTTATATAACTTTAAACAAATTCTAATCAAAAAATAATTTTGAGCATCCTGTCAAAATGTCTGTTCTGCATTCTGATGTCTGGTTTTCATTTCTCCTCAGCATTTACACAACTTCCTATATATTGTGTTATGTCTTCAATGTTTTTGCTCATCTTCCTTAATTTTCTTTTAGTAGGTATTTGTTACTATAGATTTTGATTGGTAATAGTGCACATTTTAACAGGTTGGTGAAAATTTCTTTCACTTATAGACAGGTCCTGCATTGTTGGTCGATGTTCCAAGAGACAAGAACTTAACAGGTATATCTGCTCTGTTGTGCCCAATATATCTTTGGTGATGATATTTTTTGTGTATTATGCTGAATTCCATACTCCTGGAACTGTGATTCAGTAATTCGCCACCATGTAGTTCTGATACTTCTACCACATGCCTCGAAAAAGAGATGTACATCTTTATCGTTCACAGATTTGGTGCTGGGATTATGCAATATCTTCATAACACGGGGGAACTATAATGGAATTTTTAGTGTGCGGAAATGAGATTATATTTTTAGCTAGATTCTCCTATGTTATGATGCAAGTCGTCTTGTAATTTAGATATAATGAATGATTTTTGATACTATATGTAGGAATCTGATGTTCTCCTTTGGTTGACAAGAATTGTATTTTTTCCTGGGGATCAAGCAAAATCTTCAGGTTCTAAGATTATAGTGAAGGGACAAAGAATGGAATTATTATTTAGAAGAGTGGGGATGAGAGTTGAGACCATACACGTGTAATCATGGGCAAAATGGGGTTAAATTATGATTAATATTCATGATCATTCTTGTGAAATAAAGTTGTTCATTAGTGCTAGTCAAGATAACTGATGCCTACAATAATTGTCTAGTATTAAAGAGTAAACGAGTGAAGGACTATTTTGTTCCCTGCCCAATTCTGTGACAAGAGATGATCAAGGGTTTATTTTGTAGAGATCTTTCATGAACTCTTGTATGGTGTCGATTCTGCACTTGTTTCTGTCTCTTCCCCCCCCCCCCCCCCCCCCCCCTTCCGGTGGGGGGC